CAATGGAAGGCTTATTTCGACAAAGATCCTATTACATCTACAAATAAGTGCTAATTTATTTTCTTTAATCAAAGACTATTTCCACTAAGGCCAAAATCTAAAATAGAATATGCTTTCCAAAATTCCAAATGACATTTATAACGGACTAAAAGTAGTATTTCTACGTAACAATAATCAATTAGTGGGCACAATACATTTGGCAGACCTCAAATGGTCATGATTGAATACATGAAAGGAAGACCAACCCCCTTGTGTTGTGCTTCCCTAGTTCTAAGCCTAAAAACATTATTTATTAGTATAAAATAAAGTGTAAAGATACATATTAATTTTATTTGTAAAAAATGAAATAAGTTCCTAAGTTTCAAAATATCCCAACATATGTATCAAAATAAGTTAATTCTTTTCTCATTTTAAGTAAGAAAAAGGTGCTCAATATAACCGGTGATTACATTATTGATATCATATGAAGCATTTACTATTATTTTTCAGGGTCAGCATCTCCATTTCAACAGGTATTATGAGCAAACATTAGCATTAGCTTCACTTGCAGATTCGAGACATTATCACTGTCCAAGACTCCATAGGGAGGAACCTGTAATCATCAATAAGAAATGTGAATATTTTTGAATATCCAATTAACCCAATGGCAGTTCTCAGTGAAATGGATCCAGAAACAGAAATCCTGTCCATAGAGAGTAAATATATTACTGGTGTTATACAGAAAATTATGCTTAAAAAACTATTTGAGCCAAATTCATTATTGTCAGTCAATCTCAGATGACATTAGTTTAAGAGTTCGAGCAGGTGTGAACAACCAGGGTTGAACAATAAATAAGGTAAGTGCACCATTTTTTATCAAAATCCCTTGCAGCACAATCGTTCAGGTTGACAAACTGATTTCTATTTAGGCCTGGAAGCACGTGTTGCATTTTACTTACCAGCGGCTTCAAGAAAGGTTAACGTGCATTTCCTCTCCTACAATAGCAAATATTTCATCCAACCTGTAATGAGAAGTTACCAGTAAGAATATCGAGACAGTCTAAGCCATGACAATCAGCATTGATCACAAATTACATCAAACAATATTCTCTTTTGCCCTTTCTACTGAATTGAAGCCAGAAATATGGAGATTTAATCCCATGGTATATATACTCTGTACAACAAAAATAATTTGAATTTCATCTACTTTTTAGCTAGATTATTTGAAGATTCACGAAGGAATTCCAACCCATAAGTTGAATAATCCCAATTAGTAGACTAAGGACTTAAACTTTGAGAAAAGCGAGGATTTCTTTGATTGGCAATTTCTAAGAATGATTCTAATTTATGGCGCTCTAGTGACAATTTCATGAGCAGAAAACGATCACTACCACAGGTAAATATTTCAGTACCAGTGTACCACCCTTTGTTGGTCTAGGGGAACGGCAACATACAACATTGAAGATCATAAATTACTTTTACAGTATACATGTTACAATTCCAAAACTAGATATAAAAAAAGCATATATGTAAATAATCAACTTCAAGACCTGCGAAGCCATGCACTAACCATAGAATCAAGTATATGAGCAATAGCATATAAATCTTTTAATGATGATTTTACCTGCATCTATCTATATTCACCTCTGCAAGCCAGGTTGTCAGATAAACCTGTAGTTCAAATAAATAAGCTATTAGGCCTCTATTTGACAATCTTTAAAAATTTAAATTATTTGCTACAGTATTATTTTTCACCACACATTCGCACAATAAATTATTCTACACACAAACTAATAAAATTTCCTTACTTTCTAATCACAAATTCTCCAAAAATACTATTCAAAACTCTTTAATTTTTCAAATAATGGGTGTCAATGGGGTTCAAAGTTATCTGATTCAATCTTTATGGGGGTGAAACCTGCGAAATGGAGCTCCCCTCACAATCCAAAATAACCCAGCCACCACACCCCCACACTACCGGCGCCGGCGACCAACAGTCAACATTAGGGAACGAGTTTGAAACCTGCGAAATGGAGCTCCCCTCACAATCCAAAATAACCCAGCCACCACACCCCCACACTACCGGCGCCGGCGACCAATGGTCCGGTAGGCACCACACAACCGGCCTCACTCCACAAATCAGCCCCTCCAACCATCCAGTTCACACACAGGCGCAGTTTACTGTGGAAACCCTAGCGCCGCCCAGCCGTTTTCCGCGAGATCCGGCCAGATTTCGAGGAGACGCGCCTCACCGACGGCCTCAGCAGGGACTGGCGACCCCTGCCGGTGTCCTGCCTCCCACACGCGCCGCTCCGGCTGCATGTCTGCCGGCGCGTGGACCCGCCGGGAAATCTGCAGCAGCAGCCTGCTGTCCCGAGATCAATCGGCTTGTCCGTTCCTCCATTTGATGAATTGCTAGTACACAATCAGGGGAAAAAATTGGCGGATGTGCGTAGTTTGGTATTCAATCATCGTTTCAGAGTGGAGGCGAAGGACTTCGCAATATCTATTCACGATTCTGGCACTGTTAAGTTAACAGAATGGGGTTCGAACTTATCGGATTCAATCTTTATGGGAAGGTATGGTGCTATTTGGATGGTGAATATGGTACACAGATTGAGGAAGAGAAGTGAAGTTGAGGAATGTGTTTTTAAGTTCAATGAGTCTTCAAGAGCTTTCTTGGCACAACGGTGTGTGAACCATCGAGGCAGATATTTAATGATAGCACAATATGGGGAGAGGCGTCGGAAAGGAGTTGTCATGATACCAGAAGGTGCAAATGGAGAGGGATGGGAGTCGGTCTTGCAGGTGTTTCAAGCAGTTGTTGACTCATTTGTTGCTAGGGATAAGGCCAAACGACAAACGGTGATTGAACGAAACAGACAAAGGATGACTTATGCAGAAATTACAGCAAACTCACAGACCTCGGAGAATGCCAACCAACGGATGCTTCAGCAAAAGGAAAGGAGAAATAAAGTCGGTGATAATGAAGGTCACGACATTTGTTTGAGTAGGGTCGAAATAATGACCCGTGCGCAGGAGTTGAAAGGAGCATTAGATGAATTACTTAGACTGGTTGGAAGCGGGCCTGAAATGGAGCCCATGAAATTGGTACGCTGTCACAAGTGTGGGGTTGAGTTGGATGAGGATCAAACCGGTGAAATACACGTACCGGGATTGACTCATGAGGAACTACCACCAATTACAGAACATGCAAAGCAGGGAGGAGATGAACATTGTGATTCTCAGGTGAGGATGGAAGCGGGATACCATGAAAACGATGACGGGGTTGACTTTGTGAGGGTCAACCGAACTGAAGTAGACACAGGGATTGCAGTTGAACGAGAAGAGGAACCGCTATCTAAGGAAGGGGAGTTCAGTATGGTGAACTTGGAGAAATTGTCAATGGACACAATGAAAGAAAACAACGATACACAGACGACATCAAGGATTACGAACATTTATAATAGGAGGACAAAAGATAACGATATGGGGACCAAAAAAGCTTTGTTGTTATGGGTAGGTGGTGCCAAGAAAGGAGAAAGTGACAGTGACATTATACTAGTGGTGGAAGAGAAAGAACGGTCCTTTGATCATCTCGAGGGCTATCAGGGTGAGGATACTTCAGGAGCTGATGTGTTAGAAGTTGGTCACCCACCTTCAAACTAGGTGCTACAAAAAATTCAGGAATTCAGTGGCGTGTCATGTGATGGGTATGAAAGTAGATTGTTACAATTATTCGAGGAGCTGGAGGCTAATAGGGGACAAGACATCAGTACACATGGAAGTAAATTAAGAAAAAAGGGTGATCGTGAACTTAAGAGGCTCGAATGGTCAGTAAACTATGCTGGTAAGGGTGGCGAGTCCAAGAAAGGAACAATGGGGAGGGGTTATGGAGTGTTACAATGATGCCAAAACTCATTAGCTGGAACGTAAGGGGTCTCAATGAGGTTAGTAAAAGGCTTGGTGTTCGTCATTTGCTAAGAGGATGGGGGGCAAATCTTGTTTGCCTACAAGAAACTAAGATGGAGTTTATCTCAAGGGCGGTGATTCGTAGTTTATGGGGAGGAGATCATGTTGGATATCAGTTTTTGGGGTTCAGGGGTTTCAGGAGGCGTGTTGGTGATGTGGGACACTAGAGTGTTTGAGATGAAGGAGGTGAGTATAGGGGTGTTCTCTACATCGATTTCTTTCAAAAATTGTGAGGATGGATTTCAGTGGATGTTCACAAGAGTTTATGGGCCTAATTCTGATGACAGTAGAGTGGGTTTGTGGGATGAACTGGCTAGAATGAGGGCTTGGTGGAATCTCCCTACATGTATTGGGGGTGATTTCAATGTGATTCGATTTCCTTCGGAGAGGTCGAGTGGTGGAAGACTAACTAGGGCAATGGAGGAGTTCTCAGATTTTATTAGGGAGAATTTGTTGGTGGATTTACCTATGATTGGGGGAGATTTTACCTGGTCATCCAATCGGGATCGACCCGTTCTGTCTCGTATTGATAGGTTCTTGATTTGTGGGGAGTCGGAGTCTAAATATTCAGATGTCACTCAGAGAAGATTGGGGAGAGTATACTCGGATCATTTTCCTATTATGTTATCGGGGAATAGAAAGGGTGGTGGAAGAAGACCTTTCAGGTTTGAGAAGATGTGGTTGATAGTAGAAGGTTTTAGGGAGCGAGTACAGACGTGGTGGACTTCCTATGAAGTCAGTGGGTCTCCCTGTTTTGTATTGGATCAGAAGCTAAAGACGTTGAAAGAGGACTTAAAGAAATGGAATGAGGAAGTTGTAGGCAATGTTAACTGCAATAAAAATCAGTGTCTGTCAGAGATAGAGGAATTGGATAGGCGGGAGGACAGTCAGGGGTTGACTGGGGAGGAGAAGGAGAGACATAGAATATTAAAGGAAGAGATGGAGAAGGTAGAGATGGAGGAGATTAATTGGCGACAGAAATCTAGAGTTACTTGGTTGAAAGAGGGGGATAAATGCACTAAATTCTTCCACAGGGTCGCCAATTCTAATAGGAGGAACAACTCCATCACAGTTTTGGAGGTGGACGGGGTTACCTATGAGGAACCACAGGAAATTGAAAGCCAACTGGTTAATTTTTATCAGAACTTCTATCGGGAGCAATCTGAATGGAGGCTAGAATTGGAGGGATTGCACTTTTCTACGATCAATGAAGATGATGCCCGATAGATGGAGAGACCATTTGGGGAGGATGAAATTAAGGAGGTCGTTTTTAGCATGAACGATGATAAGGCCCCAGGACCGGACGGTTTCTCGTTCTCATTCCACAAAGCGTGTTGGGATGTGGTTCGACTGGACATTGTGAATACTTTATCTTATTTTTTTGAACGTGACAGATTCCAGAGAAGTTCTAATGCCACATGTATTGTGCTCATCCCTAAGAAATCGGGAGCGACTGATATTAAGGACTTTCGACCCATTAGCCTTGTCAGCGGGGTGTATAAGATTATTTCGAAAGTCCTGGCAAACAGATTAAAGGAGGTACTAAGAAAAGTAGTGTCCAAATTTCAGAATGCATTTGTAAAAGGGCGTCAGATTTTGGACTCTGTGCTTATAGCGAATGAATGCATAGATTCAAGAATGCGCCTAAGGGCCCAGGGATGCTTTGTAAGCTAGATATTCAGAAGGCTTACGACCATGTGAATTGGGATTTCTTGTTATGTATGCTCAGGCGCTGTGGCTTTGGGGATAAATGGTGTAAATGGATTCAATTCTGTATTTCTACTATTTCATTCTCAGTTTTGGTCAACGGAACACCAGAGAGTTATTTCCGGAGCAGTAGAGGCTTGAGACAAGGGGATCCATTGTCCCCATTGTTATTTGTTATTGTGATGGAGGCTCTCAGTAGGATGATTGAAAGAGCAGTGAGAGCTGGCTTGATAAGGGGTTTTATGGTTGATCAATTGCAGGTGTCTCATCTGTTATTTGCAGATGACACGTTGATCTTATGTGATGCAGATGTAGAACAATTCAGGAACTTGCGCCATCTACTCTTATGTTTTGAAGCGGTGTCGGGTTTGAAAATCAATTTGGGAAAGTCTGAGGCTATTCCAGTTGGGGAGGTCAATAATGTCGAGAAGCTGGCTGATATATTGGGTTGTAAGGTTGCGCAGTTGCCGATGTCATATCTAGGACTCCCGTTAGGGGCACGATTTAAAAGTACCCATACCTGGAATGGTATTGTGGAAAGGATGGAGAGAAGGTTAGCAGGGTGGAAGCGTATGTACCTTTCTAAGGAAGGTAGAATTACTCTCATTAAATCCACTCTCTCCAATCTCCCTACTTACTTTTTGTCATTGTTCCCCATTCCGATTGCAGTGGCAAAGAGATTAGAGAGGCTTCAAAGAGAATTTCTGTGGGCAGGGTTGGGAGAGGAGAGGAGACTCCATTTGGTCAATTGAGGAGTTGTTTGTTTGCCGATGTGGATGGGGGGTCTTAGGGTGAGGAGCCTTATGTTGTTCAATAAAGCCTTATTAGGCAAGTGGTTGTGGCGATTTGGAGTGGAGAGGGAAAGCTTCTTCTGGAGAGAAATAATTGGGGCGAAGTATGGTGTGACCGATGGGGGATGGTGTACATTTGAGGATCGTGGTTCTTATGGGGTGAGCTTGTGGAGGTATATCCGACGGGGATGGAGTGCATTTTTGGACAAACTAAAGTTTGTGGTTAGAAATGGTAATGAGATTAAATTTTGGGATGATTGTTGGTGCGGAGATCAACCGCTGAAGGAGAGATTCCCTTCTTTGTATCGTATTGCCTCAGTGTCTACTGCCATGGTGAGTGATCTCTTAGACATTCATAATGGGAGCTATAGCTGGAATATAACTTTTGGGAGGGATCTTCAGGATTGGGAATTGGAAGATTATTCGCTGTTTATGACCATTGTACATGAGGCCCAAATTCGGGTTGGAGAGAGGGATTGCATCAGGTGGAGGACAGCACAGGATGGCATTTTTTCGGTTCACTCGTACTTTGGTTCCCTCATAGGATGTGTGAATAATTCATTTCCCATGGAAGTTGGTATGGCAGTGTAAATTGCCTCCTCGAGTGGCATTCCTATTGTGGACAGTTGTGAGGGGACGGGTCTCAACGGTGGATAATCTTCGTCGTAAAAGCTTTTATGCAATCGAGTGGTGTTATATGTGCAAGAAGGATGGGGAGACAATCGATCATTTGTTCATTCATTGTGATGGTGTACGTTGGATTTGGAACAGTCTAATCAGTTCACAATCTATGGATTGTGTGATGCCTCATCGTATAGAGGACGTGATACGGGCATGGCGTAGAAAACTTCGGGATAAGGATAGCAAACTAGCATGGCACCTTATCCCGGGCTGCATTGTTTGGTGCGTCTGGAGAGAAAGGAACAACCGTTGCTTCGAAGACCAAACAAAGGCAAGAGAGCAGATAAGAGAAATATTTTACTTTAACTTGTATTCTTGATTTAATGCTGTGGCTAGAAATCCTGTAGATGGGTTGCCTAATTTCATATTTTTCCTTAATAGCTTAAAGTGATTGTACACCCCCCGTGTATTCTCTTTTAAGTAATAAAATTATTCGATTACCTATCAAAAAAAAAAATAATAATGGGTGTCAAACAGGGCATAGATATAGTCACAACACATACACATACACAGGCTAGAACAAACATGTCCAAACATTGAAGGAGAGAAATACATTGTTATAATGGATGTATGGTATGGTCCTGATTTAAATAGGAAGTGATCTTTTCTTCTCCTTTTTAGCATTTTAGACCTCTCCTTTTGGGTACAACTTCCTTCTTTAGACGAGTTCGGGAGCTATTTACATGTGAAAAAACAATCTACCTGCTACAAATCTTCAAGTCAAACAGACCCCAGTACCTGTAGAACATCACTATCTGCCTGGTGTTTAGATTGCATTGAGGAAGTACTAGATCGGCTGCTCCTAAGACTTGGGAACACTGGTTCACAAGCTTCTTCTAAGTACAAGTTACACGTGCTTAGATCATCAAATTCTCCCTCATAGAATTCATCCGACCAATGCAACTCAATCTCTTGTAAAACTCTTTCATCAGAGATGGACAGCAACTCCAACACGAGCAACCTCTAGAGCAAATGTAGCAATTTGAGAATACAATCAAGAGAGGTGATATCAAGTGTTAAATTAAAGAAAATGTCCTTCAAGAGGCCAACTAGGCTCAGTTCACCTTTAAATTTAGTTCTGACGTGAACATTTGTACAACTTCTGATGCTAGTTCTTCTGACATCATTGAAATTACATAATGGTAAGATTGATCTCGTATTTCCATGAAAAAATAAGTCAACAGTTCATGAGTAATAAGCAATGTTATCCAAAGCATGTCGTTTTGTCCTATTCATAATCCCTTGATTTCAGAGGTCAAATGATTCAAATATTAGGACGAACCTCTCACAGACAATTGAATGCGGAAATGATGACCAAAATAAAAAAGTAAAAAACAACAAGGATTCAAGTATGCATGTGATGAAGCATCTTGCTAGAAACCTGAAAACACACTTCATCATACTGTACTGTACTCTTTTTTGGTGCCACAGGCAGAATATACTCGACGCATGTCAAAATAAAAGCATCCTCCTTCGTGGTAATGTTCAATTTGATACCATAAACATAAAAAAAGTTCCATCTCCGCATTATTATTTTGGCCTATAACTGAACAAAATAGTCGAGTCTGAACAACCACTTTAGCTCATATTGACCAACATTATTTACTGCATATATGAAAATGTTTTCTATATCTAATAACTTGGTGTTTCTTCAAACAAGTACGGCGATGGTATAGCACCAAAAAGACATACTGAGTCTGAAGTCGTAAGAATGCACATACCAAAAGCAGCAATTGACCAAAATGTGAAAACTGGTATTCCACCAGCATCACCACTATCGTTGTCATTCTGAGAGGAGCAAGAGAACTGAGCTAATGGACTAGTTCTTGAACCTTTCAAATAACACCTCATGGATCTACTAGAGTTGACCATACGAGTCACAATAGCTACCTGTAAATTGTTGATATGTAAATATGTTGCTGCTGAAGACTACTGCAAGTCCTTCGATAAGAAGGCAATGACATAAATAAATAACATAAAAAGGTTCATACTTCTGGAAATTAGATGGCCTTAGATAATGTATAAAACCAGGTAACTGATATCAAAGAACTAAATATTCCAATTATTATTGCATGGAAAGTTTTTTGCGGCAAAAATACATCAATTAACATTTCCTTTGTTCCACATCCGCATTTTTTACATTCTCAACGACAAAACACCCATACAAACACCTTACGTGAACATTTATTTCAATTGTCTACACTCAATGCCTTGACACATAGCTTGTCTCGTAATAGTTTCATTAAACTTACCGTTTATTTAGTAGATATATCTCGAACATGTAAAATGTATGTACCACTTCTCCATTTTACTATAAATCTATCCATTATATTCTCTTCAATTCCTCACTTCTAGTTACTAATTAAACCTACATCTTAAAACAATCTCTCTTTGAGATAATATGATACTCCGCTATGATTCTACCCACGGTCAAACACAATTTTAAGTTCTTTGATAGTAAATGCTCGATGTCACAACGCATAGCAAATCTAATGTTGTATTTACCTTTTACACAGTAGCTAAAATACTTGGAACACACCTCTATTTTGTGTGCTTGCTTTGATCCTATACATTTTATTCTCCTCAGTTCCTAATTTCTTGTTATTAATCACACTGACATGCCTAGAACAATCAGAATAAATTTCACATAAGTATGACACTTTTTTATCTAAAATTTTTTAAGCGTAGCACACTCTTTCTAACATGACATCCTTTTTCAAGAAGGTGCATTCAAATGAAACTGAGGAACTTTAGCACGGACATTAAGATCATGCATGATAATACATACACGTACAAGAAACAAAGGAATCCATGAAAAAGAAGCAGCACATACATTTGTTTATATTAATCACAAAACCAAGAATGATGGAGTACAAGTACCATATCTTTGTAACACGATAAGAGCTTACACCTGTAAAGCTCCTGAGAAGAGAAAATGTATCAGATAAAGAAAGAGGTAAAGTTTTATGATAAACTAGATTTATCTATTCATAGTTAAATGCATTGCAAGATTAACCATTGAGTATTTTAGAGTATCTTAGAATAAGATAATACTTTTCACGCGTGTGACTAAGTACTTCTTGACATCAAACCAATATGAACTTTCACAAGTATGATCAGAAAATGAAAGTTAATCTCAAAAACAGTATATTTTTAAATATTTAGCTTTAAGTATGAGGAGGTGCGAGTACATTAAACATAAACAGGGTGAAAGTTGATCCTACTCTGGAAGAAGAAATCTCATTTAACACGTATCCTAGTAGAGACACCACAAGTGTATTTATTAGAGAGCAGGAGCCATCAAACTGTTGACCATTATTCCCATTTTCCATGCCAAAATTTTCTACTTTCCCAAATTTTGTGGACATGCTCATCTATAATCCTGATTTCTCTATAACTTCAGCACTGTCCGCTTGATAGCATTGGTTTCTTAAAATCCTGGCACCAAGAGACCAAATGCGTCTTTGAATCTCTTTAGGAGCACGGAAGGCACGCCTCCAGTTTAACTTACAAATTTGGCTAATTTAAAACTTATGCCATACAAAATATATGCAATTCATACATATCAATGCCTAGGATATTCGAATTTTGATCATATTCATCATCTTCATCCACTATTAATCATATCAATGTTTAAGAAATTTGTTAACTCGGTACAATCTCAACCTCACAAGTGCAATAGAAGCCTAATCCCCAATTGTAAGTACCATCAGTGGCTCCCACAACCCCCTTATTTGGCACAAACTAGTTCGTTGAACCTGCTTCAAGAATGTAATAATCTGATGTGAAAACTAGCTTCCAATTCTGCCATGCTTATTACAAGATAATAATATATACGTTTCCAAATAATTTTATAAATTATCATTGTGAATTTTCTCCTGATGACACGATATTCAGTCATTCTAATATGGCCGTTTATTTAACTGTTTTCTTACACTCTTGACTCCACGCACGTAACTCGAACAAAGAAAGGACCTAAACATGTTGTAGAATGAACCAAAGATGGTAATTGACAAGGGAAAAAACAGAATTAATTATGAACCTGTTGCTTGAACAATTTCTGACAAGCTTTCGTCCGAATATTTGGCATGTCACTTAGCACACCCAAGTCCATCCCATTCATGTACCTGTAAAAATTCAAAAGTACAGAGTATACAAGCCAAATCTTTCCAATTCACTCTCACTTTAGTCCACCGTCAAATTCACACTATATATGAATGTATGCTTACTTTTGAGACAGAAAGGAGTTGACGAGGGAGATGGCGTGTGAGCGGGCGGAAGAGGACGAAGAGCACCAGTCCTGGAAAAGGGCAAGCAGCTTAGACCATTGGTTCCTGACGTTTCGCTGAGCCGCCGGTTTCCACAGCCGAATTGCCGAGGATGGCGCCGGCGCCGATGAAGGAGACGACGATTGCTGTGGTGTAAAAAATGGAGGCTTTGTGACGATGGGACTTTGAAAATGGGATTCACGGGGTTCCATCGTGAAAACAGATAGGGAGTGGAAC